ATAAGAGAGAGAGAGAGAGAGAGAGAGAGAGAGAGAGAGAGAGAGAGAGAGAGAGAGAGAGAGAGAGAGACGGATGGAGATAAAGGGAAAGATGTTCGTATTGTTTTGCATTTATCAATTTTGCCACATGGGCACATATCTACATATGATATTTCTCTCTCTCTCTCTCTCTCTCTGTATATATCTATATATATATATATATTCAGAACCAGTTATCACAAAGTGTACACAAAACATATATACAATTAGTATACATGAAAAACATCTCTCACAACGAGTTCAAAAATTCCAACCATTTCTCACAAAGTTCAAAATCACAACCAGTTCGAACAACCAGTTCGAACAACTAGTTATCAGAACAAGTTCAAAATTACAACCAAGTCTCATAACCGGTTCTCACAACCAGTTCTCGTAACCAGTTCTCACAACTTGTTCGAACAATCGGTTCGAACAACCAGTTCAAAATTACAACCAGTTCGAACAACCAGTTTGAACAACCAGTTCGAACAACCAGTTATCACAATCAGTTATCACAACCAGTTCAAAATTACAACCTGTTCTCACAACTTGTTCTTACAACCAGTTCTCACAACTTGTTCGAACAACCAGTTATCACAACCAGTTCAAAATTACAAAATGGTCTCACAACCGGTTCTCACAACCAGTTATTACAACCAATTCAAATCGAGGACATAACATTCTAATGATTATGACGACAAAAATGGGCATCAATATAGTACGTGACACTATCACTCTTGCGCAACGGACACCTCCTGCGAAAGAACGGCACCGTCAAAGTCGAGGCGGTGAGGGACACCATCGGTGTCGGAGTCGGAAGACGACTTTTCGTCATCTGAAGCACTTTCGCTTCCCGCCTCAACGAAAACATTATCACCTTCGGTAACAACACCCTCCACCGCACTCTCAACGGCATCAGGGAGTCCATAATTGGCTTCCTCATCATAATGCTCAATAACTGGGTCGTCGACGTCCGATTGCTGCAACATGTTACGTGCCCAATCTCCGACCCGAGGGCTGGCAAAAAGTGCAGTTGCAATGTCGAAGCGCCACGACGTATCCCGTGCGGCGTATATATGCTGTCGTGCGGAACGACGTCGATGGGTTACGTTTATTGGTTTGCGGAAGACCGTTCGCAATCGCCTGATTCGTTTGTTTTTGTTCCACTCCAAAGCGGTGCAACACACGCGCGCCTCATACGACTTGGGGAAGTTCAAACGTTTCGTTGCGTACATGTTGATCACGCAGTGGAAGCACTCGTTGTTGAAGGTCATCCTCGCACGTGTGTAGTACGCCATCTCCGTATTCGAAGCGAAGTGTTAAAGACAGCGCACGACGGCGAAATGAACATGCCCCCCGCCTCGTACAATGGATCCCTGTCCGCACCCCCAGCCGCTTTGCACAGGTTGGACAACTCCTTATCGCAACAGGAGTGATCCCCGACCCAATGATCGGCGAGGTGTTGCACATGTGTGGCCAAAACATCGCCATCATCATCCTTTGCGCGCACGCGCAGCCTGCAAGCGCCGTACAACCACTCCTTCGCCTCCTCCGCCGCATTGCAATGCAGTGTTTGCAACGCGTCGATCTCGACGACATCATCTGGCAACACTTTCCCTGCTTCGTCAGGGAAGAGGACGCCCCAAACAATCGCAACGAGTTCATCCTTTTTTCTCGTGGACACCTCTGCCACGTGTACACATTTCGATTCGAGCCAAAGTTCAAGCTCCTTCTTTGTGAAACACTTCACCTCGCGCATATGCTCGCAAGCCCCGACTGCAGCTGGTTTGACAGTCTTCGTGCCGCGCACAGCCTCTCGCAAACGTTTGACCAAAGTCTTCGCCTTATGCCACATACACTTTTGTAAGTCAATGTTCATTTGCCACAATATAACGTGAAACGCGCCACAATCATCATGCACAACCTCTGCGATTATGAGGTTCTTCTCGTCCTTCAACCGATGTAGCAGTTTCTCAACACACTGTGTCTCCAGCTTCCATGATGACTCGTTCCCCCGGAGCATGGTCTCCGTCCCCACGATCATTCCTGACTTCAAATCCACCGCCGTCACCGTACAATGCTGAGCGTCACAAGATGAATCGTAACGCCCGTCAACCAAAACGACGACCAGATCGTTCAACCTACGCAATCGCGCGATGACGTTGTCGAAGCTCTTTTGAGTAACCTGTTCGACGTGTCGCAGCCATTGTCGGGAACCTGGGCCGTCATCACGAAAAAACTTGTAGAAAGTTTCTTTCCTGACCTTCCTCATCCCTAAGCCCCGCAGGAGGTTATTCAATTGAGTGTAAGTCATTCCCGCAGTCAAAGTGGAGTGGAACAATTGAGTCTCAACCCTCGAATTTTTCACCCCGCCCGGTGAAACAACCTTCGCAGAACTCCAGTGCCATGTGCACCCTTTCCCGCTCTCGAATTGCAACTTGCAAATGTGACATGGATAATGGATCTTCTTGATCGTCACCTCAACGTCTTTCCCGTGCCGAGGACACGTTTGCTCGAACATCCCGAGAATCGGTAGAAGTTTGACCGGCTCAGTGAAAGCGACATCTGGTCTTGCTTTAGCATCCCACATGGCCATTTGGTCCCTCACGCTCAATAGTTCAAACATCGGACCATTATCCAAATATCCTGGCTTGTCGACGCGCCATTTCAATGCGTCACTGCGAGGTCTGCCGCCTCGCGACTTTGGTGTCGCCGTTGCGTCCGATCCTTGTCCGCATGAACCCCCATGGCCAGACGATTGTTCGTCGGGGCCGTACTTTGACATCAGCTCATCAATGTGAACGGAACTCCACTCCATGAGCTGATCGAACACGTCCTCTTACGAACAATGATTTTTCTTCTTATCTTTGGAGCCTCGAGTGGGAGTCGACAACTTCTTCCCCATCGCCTGCACAATCTCACCCAGGCGATTTTTTTGATCAAGTCTACATCGCACCCAGTGAGGCTTGCCTTCACGAGGTGTACTGGACCTCGTACGGGGCGATCGAGGCGAGAAACTCATCCCAGCCTCGCTATCATTAACCGGGGAAAGAACATCACGTGCACGGTTGCAGAAAATCGGACTGCATGATGTCGGCAGCACTGCTTCGATCGGTGAACGTGTCTCTTCTATTCGACGAACAGGATCCGACGCAAAGACACCCGCAACGGGCACCGCGCCGGAGTTGTCATGGCCAGAACACAGGAACGACCGAGGCAAACCAAATGGATGCGCGGCGTCTGAACGACTTTGTTGAACACCGCACATGCTCTGACTTACGGACCAAGGCGTCGGCAACATCGGTGCAAGAGAGCCCATGGGCGAAGAAAATGGAGGACGAGAAGAAAGCACAGCGGATTGCGCAAACGAAGACGTTGAGGGATCGCCAACGAAAGTGGGGAGAGCCGGGATTGCAGCAATGGTTGCACGCATGTGAATCAGGAGAGGAGTTTGTGTGACATTTGTCGAATTCAGCAAAGGAGGGAACGACAAAACGATCATTCTGTCATCCAAACGCTGCCTGGTTGCAGGTCTGTCCAATATACAATCCGTTCGAGTGCTTCCGCGTGGATCCAAAAGGCCTCTTCCTCGACCGCGTGAAATATCATGGTACACCGGAGAGCCTTGCAAACAAGAGAAAGCGCGTGAGGCGGATGGAGATAAAGCGAGAGGAATAGGAAGCAAAGGGGATTTCGGCGACGGCGACAGAGCTACAGGAGGTTGTTCGCGGTCCATGTTGATGCCCCTGCTCTATGGATGCGGAAGGGCAGACGCACCTGCACACGCGAAAGCACAGTACTACGGATCACGATGTGCGTCCAAACACACACACTATATATATATATATGTATATATATGTATATTGTGGCGAACCAACGCCGTTGACGACATGCATACAATCGCAACCCATATGACAAGTCTTCCCCTCCATTTCTACCGCATTATCCGGGTTCATTGCAATACGAATATATACAATTTATTATTCTGCATGACATATTATTCATTCAGAATTTTTGCAAACTTTTTTTTTGTTTATCGTTTTTTTTTTTTTTTTTTGGGTTTTTTTTTTTTTTTTTTTTTTCCTGTTCGGGCAAACGTCTCAATTTGGAAGTCAATTTGGAAGCTACCTTTCTCTGAGTTCTCAATTTGGAAACTACCTTTCTCAACATTTTTTTTTGGAAGTCAATTTGGAAGCTACCTTTCTCAATATTTTATTTATTTTGAATTTTTATTTTTCTGAGTTATCTGTTATGTAGGCTACGTTTCTCTCAATTTCAAAGTCAATCTGCGCAGCTAAAAAATAATGAAAAATCGGCAAAGATGGTGGTCTAAAAACTTGCTTTCCCAATTACAAATTTGTTTGTTTTCTCTTTTCACTTTTTGTTTTCCTTTTATTTCGGGGCCTGAAAAAATATATTCCTTTTTTCTAACTTTATTTGTAGGTTGTCTATTATGTAAGATACATATGTATAAAAGTTCATGCCATTTGACAAAGCCAAAAAAAATTAAAAAATCACGAAAGATGGTGGTGTCAAAAACTTGCTAGCCCACGCAATAATATCATTTTCGTTTTTTTTTTTTTACTGTCAAATTAATTATTTATTTTTCGTTTTTCTTTTTTAGTTCAAATTTGGTAAGGAATTTGGAAACTTTGTAGTTTATTCTTCTGCATGACTTTTTTTTTTTTTTTTTTTTTTTTTTTTTTTCCGCGTTCGGTCGAACAACCGAACGCGTCGACAGGGGGTCCCAAACGTTCGGACGTTCGAGTTCGGTTGCCAAGGGCCCATCCCAAACGCCGGTTACCATATATATATATATATATATATATGTCACAACCACTCGTTTGTTGTCCTCTTCTCCCTCTCTGCCTACGGTTTACCGGCCAGTTCTGTGTCTGTGCCTGCATGTGTGTATCTCGTGGGTGTATATGGTTAGCGTTGTGTATAAAATAGAAGAAGAAGAAGAAGAATAAGAATAAGAAGAATAAAATGAGGAAGAAGAAGAAGAAAAAAAAAATGAGACGAGGACGAAAAACAAGACCTAACAGAAAAAAAAAATACAAATATCCGTCAAAAAACCAAGGGAAAAAATCAATAAAAAGAACACCATGCGGTCAAACCTTGACGAAATAGTTTGTCAAATGCAAATTGTTTGTTGTCCTCTTTTCTCTCTCTCTGTCAACGGTTTACTGGGCAAATATATATATATATATATATATATATATATATATATATATATATATCGATATATATATNATATATATATATATATATATATATATATATATATATATCGATATATATATATATATATATATACATATATATATATATATCTGGTTTACCGGCCACTTCTGTTTCTGTGCCTGCATGTGTATATGTCGTGGGTGTCTATGCTGACCGCTGTGTATTAAGTAAAAGAAGAAGAAGAAGAAGAAGAAGAAGAAGAAGAAGAAGAAGAAGAAGAAAGAAGAAGAAAAAGAAGAAGAAGAAGTACAAGAGGAAGAAGAAGAAGAAGAAAAAGATGAGATAAGGACAAAAACAAGACCCAACAGAACAAAAATAACAAATATCCGTCAAAAAACGAAGGAAAAAATTAAAAACAAAACAAAATAAAAAAATTGACAAGCCAAAGATGAACGTGAAGAAGACATAGAGGAAGAAGAAGCAAAAAAAAAAATAAAAAAAATCAACAGCATATACGATAAACACCGCGCTCTCAACAGTGAAAAACGATCGAAAAATAAAGCACAAAAAAAAAATATATATCGTCAAATAGAACTGCCCGGTAAACCGTAGGCAGAGAGGGAGAAGAGGACAACAAATGAGGGGTTGTGACAAACTGTTTCGTCGGAGTTTCACCGACTCATCAGGAGGCTATATATATATAAAAAAAAGAAAATGCGATCAAACTCCGACGAACCAGTTTGTCACATGCACCTCGTTTGTTGTCCTGTTTTCTCTCTCTCTGCCAATGGTTTACCGGGCACTTATGTTTGTGACTATATATATACATATATATATATATATGGTTATAAACATATATGATGAGTCGGTGAAACTCAGACGAAACAATTTGTCACAACCTCTGCTTTGGTGTCCTCTTCTCTCTCTATCTGCCAACGGTTTATCCGGCTATATACATATATATTATATATATATGACTATTTATATATATATATACATATCGTCATGTATATGAAAAAAAATCGAAAACTCCGACGAAACAGTTTGTCACAGCCCATTGTTTATTGTCCTCTTCTCTCTCTCTCTGCCAAAGGTTTACCGGGCAGTTCTGTTTGTGACGATATATATATATATATATATGGTCATGTATATGATTTACCGACTACTTCTGTTTCTGTGTCTGCATGTGTATATATCGTGGGTGTCTATGTTGAGCGTTCCGTATGAAGTACAAGAAGAAGAAGAAAAAGAAGAAAAAGAAGAAGAAGAAGAAGAAGAAGAAGAAGAAGAAGACGAAGAAGAAGAGGAAGAAGAAGAAGAAGACAAAGATGAGTCAAGGACAAAAATAAGACCGAACAGAACAAAAAAAATAATTATCCGCCAAATATATATATATATATA